GCATGCTTTATAATGGAAAAAAAAAATCTTTATTCTTCATATAAACATTACTTTTCATTTTAACTTCTCAAGAGTTTGAGTCAGACTAACTTTGTTAACTCAGACACGTTTCGAGTACAAGTGATTTTTAACACAAAAACACACGTTTCATGTAGATACAAGTACTAAATTTGGAATTGTAGTAAATATTCCTTTTCCAATATAGGGTTGGTCCCATGGACCGACTCCGTGCATGTTTGGTTAAAACGACGGTTGTGAGATGAGTGACAAGTTTTCAAAATGGTTAGATCATCTTACAAAACAATCTCTACAAATATATGGAACGTGGCATATTATCATGCTAAACTAGGGAGTTCAGAAAACAGTGTAACTGAATCAATATAGGGTTGGTCCTATGGACCGACTCCGTGCATGTTTGGTTAAAACGATGGTTGTGAGATGAGTGACAAGTTTTCAAAATGGTTAGATCATCTTACAAAACAATCTCTACAAGTATATGGAACGTGGCATATTATCATGCTAAACTAGGGAGTTCAGAAAACAGTGTAACTACGTGATACGAGAGCACTGATAATACTGCTTTGTACTTACTACATATATAAAGATTTTGAAAGAGAAGTTGTGTGAGAGTTAACTCACCTTACGTTTTTGTCCAGTCTTATGACTTCTTGTCTTAGTTGTGGCAGGCAAGTCTTGACTGCTGGAAACTGATTCAATGGGATGGGACAAAACAGAAGATGACGTGTCGGATGAAATTACATCCGAAGATGAAATGGAGCACAGACTAACAATTTTAGATGTAATGGGAGTCACTGACGAAGTAACATACTCATCCACTCCTGAACTGCAATTGTGGTCAGTGTAGCAAATTTCAAGAAAGTCAGACTTAGCTGAAATTTTTGTTTCTTGTACGTAACATGCATTCGGTGACACACAAACAGAGATCTTTTCTCCAGTATCTTTCAACGACAGGCTTATGTTCTCAGCTCCAGCATTATCATATTTAGTTGATAAGCACTTATCATCACGTGAAAAGTCACACTTTGACATATTTTCACCAGAAATACACGCTGCAGGCCTATCTACTGATTGCCATAATGTGTCGTCAGCCTCGCCGACTGAAGTGTTGTATGCTTCCAAAACTTTTTCAAGGGAATTGCACACATCGGACCTTACACCATCCACGGCCGTAGCAGTTGTGCTATCAGCTATGACACCGTGAACATCACAGGATAAATCTAAACACTTACAGGAGTCTTGTGATGATTCTGTACCACTACTGACTTGTGAAATTGCAGCACAGTTTGTCAACAGTGAAGGACCTACCGAATTTTCTTCACCAGGCTTCTCCAATCGGAGTTCTCTTTTCACATTTGCTTCCTAAGTCAAGAATTGGGTACAATAATTATAATAAACATATCAGTTCCAATGTAGTTGTAGTTTTAAGAACAAGCTCATGATCTGTAATGAAAATGGTGTTACATTTCCACTAGTGAAAACAAGTTTACCCTAGCCAATCAGTTTGAACAAATCACTGCTCAGCACGAAATACGACAATGAAGGTACTACGTCAAAAATCAGAAAGAAAGAAATATCAATGCCATTATGCGGTAAACATCTATGTACAAAAGTACAACATAAGTTTCAAAGACTATTGTTCAAAACTAAATGTGAATAAAACAAACGGAACGAAACAGTTTGGATATCGTTCTTTCAGTCTTGCATCTGGTGAACGCCTACTCGTCTGCTAGCAGGCATTGCAATTCAACAAAACATAGACTATTCAAAGTTTCCTTATTTAATATACTGTTAACTGTAGTTAGAGACTTAGTTACATCTACAAACAACGTTTTATGTACTATATTTTCACTGTAGCTGCAGGTAGGGTCTGAAATAGTAACACTTTTTTATATAGTTTGCTGTTAAAGTTAACGGTTTCCTCACCTTATCAAGCCATTTTCCAGGTAGCTTATTAGTTAGATGTTCACTGCAATCAGAGGCCAGCCTCTTGATTCCACACAATGTTGGCTTAAAGCTCTCTCGTAATGTTCCAAAAGAACTTTCAGGGCTAGAAACTTGCGGATGGTCATCTAGTATGGGAGAACAAGTGGAGTCTTTACTCGCACGCATCATTCTTCGTTTCTTCAGTGGAGTCAGCACATCTGTTCGTAAGAATTTATAAAAACACATTAAAACTAACAGGTGGTATACAACAGATTTCTTTAAAGTGATATCAATGCAACTTAACTCTTTCACTATGGTACTGACCTCGTAACAATTTAGTGCTTGTTATAGTTTTCATATTATAACTTTTAATACAGTAAATGTATCTTCACAAAATTTTGCAGATTAACAGTAAACATAACAAGGCTTTCGTACCCAGAATATCAGATTTTTCATGAGTGCATGTGCACCACGTCATTGCAATTTCTATAATGTTAGTCAGACATGGCTGAGAGGTCAATAAAATAAGCATATATATATGTGTGTGTGTATAATGTTATGAGATTTAAGTTATTTAGAGTAAACGTGTGGTTTCATGTTATAATTTGTATTTATTTCCCGATTTTCTCTGGTGGTAACGAGGTTGGTCAAATAGACCAAACCCGTACAGAGATACAATGGTGAAAATAACATAAAATATAAAGTCTTTTCTTAAAAAAAAAGTTTGATGATTAGCTGGAGGTTATTAGGACGTCATAAAGATTTTGCATGTGAAATCTGACAATTTTTTAATGCATAAAAGCATTTTTAATCTTAAGATCAAAATTACTTTGCATGGTTAGATAGTCGACATTCGAAAATAATAAATGCATGAGGAAATCATTACTTTTTACTGTATCCAGTAATACAAAACTGGTCTTTACAAAGTGACCTGTCTTAGCTGTGTTCTAGTCGACCAGTATTTTGTAAAATACAGTTACATTTCAATTATATAACTTTACATATGTATACGTATTATATATTATTACTCTTTACAAATATGTTCTGGAATGTCAGTTAATTGTCTTAAAACACAGAAGAGCAAACAAAGAAGTACAGAAAACAATTATCTCTTCTAGTTATGATTTTTATACTCACTTGCCGTAACTTGCTAAGCCTAGTCAAATTTTCAACGTGTAGGATGTAAAACAAAATTTTTTTCATGTTTTATATACGCATTTGGAAATAACAAATAATCATAAGTTACTATATTAATAGCACAGAATTCCACTATAATTTATCAGGCTAAGTAACTAAACTGTATTTGGGTCTAAAAAAAATGTACGATATTCCGAGTTCTGTTATCTTCTACCATGAAAAGGAAGGCTTTTCTCGTGTAAACACTTCACACAGACTGAGAAAACCATGTGGGCGACATTCTGAGCTTTTGATTGGTTATACAGATGTCAGAGAGCGAGGTAGGTGTATGTAAATAAGAATTCCCCAAAATGTAAAAGGTAGGTGGGGCCACCTTGGTTGATTCACTAAATATTTCAGAAAATAGAAAAGATAGGAGGGTTTTATTTTATATTCTAGCTGGTAATTTGAGATTTTAAAGAAACTATAGACTTGTATTTGGATATCACAAACATCTAATATGAACCAAAGCTGCATGTGACATACAAAAATTGATATTTGGGAATTATGTTTTAATATTTACTGTTAAATTAACTAATATATAATACCAAACTCACCGACATAGATTCATACAATAGTGGTTCAATAAAATTTTGAATACAAGTCTACAAACTTGATGACACGCCCTTTGACCCCTGACCACAGAGTTAACAAGAAGCAGCTTTAATGAAAGTTTTGCCAAAAAAAGAAAAACAAATTAATTGGGTGCTGATGAATTCATATACAGAAGTTAATTGTGATAAAGTTATGATCTAGTAATGATTATGACATGAAGTTTAGTCTCCTACCTCCTGAGGGAGAGAGGCAAGGACTGCTAGCTTCACTTTGTGGGTTAGGGCTCATAGACCCATTATGAACAGGTGAACAGTGACTTGTCTCCGATTCATGTCCATCTGTTCCTTCTATGTCTTGAGGTAACGTCTCACACATAGCCTGGCGAAGCCAACGCTAAAGATAAAACTCCAAGGACTTACACAAGAAACACACATAATTGTTTTAGGCTACACTTAAGACTGATAATTTATCATTTTCTATTCTTACGTGATAAAACTTTTTTTCTTAAACTAACTGAAGGAAATTATTAAAATTTTCTTAAACATCCTTAAACAAGTTAGTACATTTTTATTAATATAAACAATGAATCAAATTTAAAGCCTCATGCTCACCTTCTTAGCTGAACCAATGCTTGATATCTGCTTGCTGCTAACTCCCGAATTGCTGTTTCGACGAAGATGGGCAGCTAAAATTCCGGAGCCGCTCGTAGCATCCTTGGTGCAACTTACATAACAGGTAGGACTGGCTGTGGACAGATCCCAGGATAACTCTGTATGGATAGTTAGTGGACACGACACGGGGACCGATGCTTCAGCTTTCTCCTGTATCCACTCATTCATCAAGAACTGTCAACACATAATAACAGAAACTGCTACAACTTGAATATAAAGACGTTCTAAACATTGTATTTTATAAAAGTTTCCACCACTGTTTTAACCTGCTAGGTTGAAAAGTGTAACTAACTCTTTAACTATAACGGAATCAACTTCTTTTCATAACCAGAAACATTACTTTCCGTAAAAAAAAAGACTTTAAATTGTATGTTGACTTGATGCAAGTAATATTTTATTGTGGATTTCTACAGGTACGATTTGTTTTACTGCTATCATTTCCCAAACCTTTCAGACATACAATTCAAAAAAATGATGTGATTCTTAAACTACAATCGGTATTTATTTTCAATAAAAGTGTTGAACATACCACACACAGTTTCAACTATTAATGTTTTGAGCTTTATAAGCCACCATTCCTGAAAAGAAGTAATGTCAAACTGACACCATAATAGTTAAAATAACCATTATTAGAGGCACTTGTTTTACAATGTTAAGAGACTTGCCCGTTTTGACTTTGGTAGAACAAATCCCTCTCTTCTACCATCAGGAGAGATTAAGGTTCCACAAGGATGTGTAACTGCAGCGTTTGGAAAGTGGTCCATTGGTGCACATGATCCCTCATCTGGAGAAAGGATCTCGGATCCTCCACTGCTTGTGCGAATTCTCCTCCTTGTTGCCGATCCGGAAGAACGGCGTTTTTTCCTACATAATGGATATACACTGTATACAATATATCAGCATAATTATCAAGATTCTGTTTTTGTTAAAATAGTAAAGGGGGAAAAAAAACTAACTGATGTAATAATATATTGGTTATATTTCATCTCAACACTTTTTACTAAAAGGATCTATTGAACCTGTTTTAGTACACACTGACTAAAGTCAACAGATCTTAGGAAAACAAAGAATGTTGACTTTAGTCAGTGTGTACTAAAATCCTACGTTTAACCTTTGTTCTATTGGGTTTTAGGAAAACAGAACAATGAACAAAGGTTAAACGAAGGGTTTTAGTACACACTGACTAAAGTCAACAGATCTTAGGAAAACAGAACAAAGGTTAAACGAAGGATTTTAGTACACACTGACTAAAGTCAACAGGTTTTAGGAAAATGAAGCAGTGAACAAAGGTTAAACAAAGGATTTTAGTACACACTGACTAAAGTCAACAGATCTTAGGAAAACAGAACAAAGGTTAAATGAAGGATTTTAGTACAGACTGACTAAAGTCAACAGATCTTAGGAAAACAGAACAAAGGTTAAACGAAGGATTTTAGTACAGACTGACTAAAATCAACAGGTTTTAGGAAAACGAAGCAGTGAACAAAGGTTGTAAGTTTATCTGACATAGACAAAACTTTACCCTCTCTTGTAAGGTGGTGCATGTTGAATAGGGGGGCTGTAATACACGGGCTTTACTTCTTCATTGTCTAGCCCGTCTCCATTAAACTGGTCCCTTTTTACATCATACTTATTTTCACAGACTGGAGTACTTTCTTCCTCTTCACCATTCAAGTGATGCTTGGTTTTATCTTCATCGTGAACTGTTTGTTGCTTATGTGGCTTCTGTAGAGAAATTTTCTCCCGAGCCTGCTGTTTTTTCTTCTGAGATTTCTCCATTCTCTCAAAAGCACGCATGATAGCATCAAGTTTACGTTCCTCTCGAGTCTGTAAAATAAGTAAAATTATTTCAGTCTGACACCGTAAAATATCTAGTTACGTTACTTATTTAAAAAAAAAAAAAAAGTTTTTTAGATAGTATCTTTGTGAAATGTTCCAACAGAAATGAACGTACAATCTTTTATATTTTATCAGCAATTTAGGGTCTGATGTATAAATTCTAAAATCATTATATCATACCTGGAAAACAAATTCAACAGTAAATCCTCTTGCGTGAAAATCTTTACTCGGTATAAACACTTAAATTACTTCTTAGCATGGAAAAACAAAAATTATAAAATCACCGAGGGCATACCAACACGTTTTACAAACTTATACAAAAATAACGTTTCTAATAATTAGTACAGAAACTATCCTTTTCAAGGCAGAGAATGATGTTAAATAAACACAAAAAATACCATTTTTTTTCTGCTCTCCACACACTGATCTGTAGGATCCACGTGGTCCTGTTTGACTTCTCCAGTTTCATCTTTCACTAAGGAGACCTCTGTTAGTGTATTTTCATCCTGATAATAAAACACGCAATTAAAACATACTTAACTCTCTCTCTCTTGCTTGATCAAATCGGCCAAATTCATGACCCCAAATTGACCTTTATAGTTTCCATACTAGTACTTCTAATGTTTTGTGTATCTTCACAAAATTTCACAAGCATTCAGTAATCATTATGTCTTTTGTAGACAAAAAAATCAGAGTTTTTAATGAAGTATTTCTACTAAATATTTCTACATGAATATATGGTGTTAAAGCATTAACTGCTCTGAGTGCAGCGGTTTTCATGTTAAGGTTAAAAATACGTTCTTTCATCTGAAAATTGTTAAATTTCATTTGCTTAACCTCTAAAACCTCCTAAAGAAATTCCACTCATTTTTTCCCCCCCGTAAAACTTTATATTATTTCTGTTATTTTCTCTACCCTAACTCTATACGAGGTTGGTCATAACTACAAATAGAATTATTCTATATCTCTACTAACCTAATCTGCAGGGGCATCCTTTACTGCACGTCACGAGGTTTTTAGTGAATTACATTTAAAAACTGTTTATGTTATACCAATTAGTATAGCTTAAAATCTTAGCTAATAATCCATATTTTAGTAGTATATATAAGTTTCAAGTTTTTAATTTTATAAGGCAATATTTAAAAAAAAAACTGACTTTCCCATAGTGTGAGAAAGGTGACATATTATCTGTAGGTATTCCATCTCCTCTATGTTATCCACCACCCCTCCAATACCTATGAAATTGAACTTAATTTCTCACTATAAAATCGTCATTGCTCTGACAAACCATAATTATTATAGCCTTCAATTTGGTTTGGTTACAGAGCTATTAAATAAAAAATAAGACACCTCCTGCCACACCCATTTATCACATCCTCTCTTTCAGGATTTGTTAATAGTTTTCTCTATGTTTCATTCTATATTATCTATAACCAGTAGAAAGCCAATTTGACAAGATGAATTATTCTTCTCTATTCTGTTATTACAATACAATCTGTGATATTTCACTGTATGCTCTTTATGGCTAAACTCACAATCATGCACTATTGGTCTCACTGTATCTCAAACTAAATTTTCAATGCATATTTGTACCCCAACAGAAAGAAGTCTAGAACATTCTAAACACTACTAGATACTATGATGCAATAATACTCAATTAAAACAACGAGAAAAACTCGAAAGGTCTTAGTAACATAACACAATAATATAACAATAACTAATTCATAACTATCGAACAATACAAAATATGATTTGTAAGCTGTTATGTAAACAAACTTGCGATAAACTATCACAGCTAAAAAATAACTAAATTTAACACTCTAAATCATAACATTTGCATTAAATTGAAACATTTGTGTATATCTAATAATTAGGCTATCTGCTGTGTGCACCACAAGGAATCAAACACTGGATATTAACTATGCAAATCCCTAAACTTATCACTGTCTCACCAGCAGACATGAAAGCGTTCTTTTCATTGTTCAGTAGGTTTATTTATTCAAAACTTTGAATCTTAAAATAACGTTACGCTTTGGAATATATTTAAAAAATATTTTTTTCAATTTTAAGTGAAATTGAACTTCTCAAAAGATGATTAACTGCACACTTAAACACGGCTGAAGAAAGAGTAACTGATGTACAGTCAAAGACTGGTTATTACGTGGAATGTTCACAAAACAATACAGAAAGAACTACAAACCTGAGGTAAAGAAATTGCTGCACAATTTTTTAAGGGAGTTCCTTTGTGGGTCAAACTTACTGATGTATCTAACACAGCATCTTTGGATTGACTCTGGTTCTCAATGTAAACACTGTTCTTCCTTGTTTTCCGTTTTGGAGTATTATCTAACGAAGAGCTATGAGAACAGTTAAAAAAAAAACTGATCAAATTAATAGCTCTGTAGTAGATTCCAAGTCTCTGTTAAAAACAGCTAATAGATATTTTTATACTTGTACAATATTAAACAAACAGAGAAAGAATGAGACAATTTTATTACGAACATTGACCAAACTGATCCATGTTTGTTCAAATTTTCATCAACATAGAAGCAATAATTCTTTGCATAAAAGTTCAAAAGGAGCTAAAAACAATACGCATCTCCAGTTATCCAAGTTCTAAAGTATATTCACATCTTATCGATAGTTTCTTAAAGGAATAACATAAGCAAGACAGTTATCCATTTCTTTTCTTAAGAGGGATAACAGTTTGTAACTGAAAGAATAAGACCTATACGGAACTTTAATAGCAGTAAAATAAAGATAAGATTTAAAACTTTGGGAGCAATTTTTACCAAACTATAACCTGACACATACAAGACCCGAATTAACACACTTGCTCCATAGCAAGGGTATCCTTTTCTGAGCATTTCACATGGTTTCAGTGAGTTACATTCAAAATTTAATTAAAGTACTTTATTATCATGGTATACAAATAAACATGGCACCAAAATGTAGCTAAAACTCCAAATTTTAATATAAGTTTTAAGTTCTTAATTTTATAAGGCAATATTGAAAAAAATACAACCACCTCAATTTCCCCTAGTAGCAGAATTGTGACATTTGCTCTCTAGATATTACCTGTTCTTTAATTTATTTACCATCCCTCCAAGAAGTACGAATTCTAACTTAAATTACTCATTATACAACATTACAATTTTTGTAGCCTTCAAGTGTTCACATGCCACTAGCCTTGATACTCCCATTTATTTTGCATTCTAACATGAAAATGATTATGCAGCAACCCTCCACCAATAGGAGTACAACACAACCCCTATCATAAGTAGTGCCCTCTCTAATATTGCAGCTGTTAACCACTTCGCGATGGGTCAGATCACACTAAACCACACCGGAAGAGGGGAGGATGGGTGGGAAATGTGAGGGGAGGTAAGTATCTATCAGATTTAACTTCCGATATAATATCTTTCTTCAGCTCACAAAAAACTAGAATCCCACACTGAACTGGTGGAGGGCTGGTGAGAAGATGAGGAAAACCATAGGGTTAATTAAAATTAACACAAACATGGAAGACCGCTCCACTTCTGAGCCAGGTATACTCTTCACCCATTAGTAATATATTGGCAAAGAGGGCAGAAACACTGATGGACCCAAAGTAAAGCAAAGTTTGTAAACCAAAAAGTGGCAGATAAAGGCACCCTAGAGCCCACAACAGAGGAAACTGAAAAGTCCCATTCAAAAACCTAAGGCAAAATGGATGGTAAGTGAGAAAACGTAGGATGGGAAGGACTATAACCCCTTAGGACAGATTAAAAATGGCACGTGTACCATGTACATAGATAAGCCATCACGGAGGGAGAATGAACAGGATGGAAAATGAAGGAAGCCACGAACGAAAATTTGGCAATTCAGGCGAGGGACCAGACAAAGACAGAGTGTAGATACCAATGGATGATGCATGCTAGATTATGGCTGATGGAGGATAAAGGAATAGAAAGGGAGGCAATATCAAAAACCAGTGCAGCAATGGAAATCACAGGTGAGCCAGCCGATACATAACCAGCAGCAGAACATTACGTGGAGTGGTCTAAAGTATGAAAAAAAAACGTGGGATGATATGCATATAGGTACCGACTGACAGCATTGACTCCTCCCAGCCAGAGGATAGGGAACAGGAGACTACAAAATCGGGGAAGTGGTGTATTGAAGAAAAA